TATACATTTCGTCTGCAGCGCCATCCATTGGGTTCATTTTCTGCAAAACCATTGCTTACCATAAAATGAATACGTGTTATGAATTTCTACCTTAACTCCAGCGGCACTAATCGGGTAAATTTTTATCAAAAGAATTTTCCATCATACAGGTACATAGCTCACATTTAAAATTTGAACGAAATCGGTTAATAAATACGATTTTTATAAATAACTCTACTCCAGCACCACCTTGCGAGTTTTCTAGTAGCAAGTTATTGGACCATATATGTATGTAAGATAACCTCCGACAATCTGACGGAACTCTATTCAGTGTTTTTTGAGTTTATTCCGAACAACGAAAACGGCTATCATTTTATGCAAATAGGTATGTAGATAGGACAGTTTATAGCGAAACTCGTAAAAGCAAAGCTCCATTCTTTGTGAAAAATTTAAAAAAATTCTTCAAAATTTTCACATAAATTTTACCTTACTGAAAATTAGAGACAAAGTTACAATAGTTCAATGGGATTTAGAAATCTAGGAGAAAATGGTTCCCAATCGAATGATACTTGCGCGTTTACGTAAATGTGTATCGAGCCAGCCTTTCCAATAATTACCACTTTTCGCCATAACTACGGTATTGATAACATATGTAGCTGTGTAGAATTTCAGGACGTTAGCGTAAGCAGTTGAGAAGTTCAGTTTGTATGGAAGGAAGGATCCGCCCCCTTTCCCAATGTATTTGTAATATATGCATCAGTGCTAAGTTTCAGTTCCCCAGCGTAATTGGTTTTAGAGATATTGGCTTTTATAAGCTTTTATTTAACTTGGTCATCCCGCGCAAATCGCGGAAATTTCCAATCGATTTTAAACTGACTTCCCGACAAGTTAGAGACTTGAAATTTTCAGCATAGTTCCAATCACGATGACAATGCAATTTAAAATATAAATGAATTGCCCATATTGTCCAGGGGTCTTGATTCAAAGGCGGTCAAAAAGTAGTAAGGTTTATGGCTAACAGAGCGTAATTTGCCAAAGAACGTAAAACCACTATAAAATTGTTAAAGCTGACGGCGATAGTGTAGCGAAGCTACTTGTGGCAAATTCTGATTTCAACCTAGTCTAGATATGAACCTCGTTGTAAGAATTAGAAGACTCCAGATGTCGCGCCGACAGAAGAAGTTAAATATTGCGCCTAAATATATGCCAGGCTACAACGGAAATGGACGACACGCCATTTCTTTAAATAAAATTAACTGCTGCTATATGTACATATGTATGTTTATACAAACCATAAGCAAACAACATTTTGCTTGCCAAGTCTTCTGTTCTCTTTCATTGCAAGTTGAATTATTTTAATATCTATTGCAAAATTTTGTACATAAAATGAAATAACACTTTTTAATATACAACGCTTTTATAAACGGACTAAAAATTATTAAATAAAATAATGTAAAAAAAAATATTTTTTAAAAACAAGCTTTTATTTAACATGTACAATCAAAGGAATAAAATAAAGTAGTGTAACAAAAGATTTTTTAGCAAGAAAATTTTGTCAAAACTGCACTAAAATTTAGTGGACATTTTTAATTATGTGTTATTGTATTTTATTTTGCCATTTTTTTAATTTTTTATGATATTCACTTAAATAGTTACAGGTTAACTTCCGGGAAAATAGTTATTAAATGTGTAGTTCTTTGCCAAAAAAAGATGTGTTTCCTCATAACTGCCAAAGACGTCATTGTTCCTTCATATTTGCAAAGCTTTGGTAGGGTAAAGTTTTACTCGAACAGATCTATTCTGCGCGTTACCGAAGATTTTGTAACCGGAAAGTTTTATTACCAAAAAATGTTACCAGTTCTTGTCTCTGCGATTCTAGGTAGATATGTTGGTAATGCAGTTAAAATATTCAGCAATCAGCTATGAAGGATTGTGGAAATTCGGGGCTTATGAGATGGTAAAAAAATGTTCCGGTTACAGAATGCGAAAAGGTTTTAAAAATTTACAGGAATTTTATTTAGATCAGGTGGAGAAGGACTTGTTGGCATTTCCAATTGGCGTCAGTTGGCACAGAAGAGAAGAGAGTGTGCTGTTTTGGATTCGGCCAAAATCGCTTAGGCGGTTACAGCGTCAGTAAAGAAGAGGAAGAACACTCAAATACTCCTTAAGGTCTGTTTGTCCGATATTTGGTTAAAATTTCCTTTAACTGTTAACTTGAAATAACAGCTTGGTCTTCATCTAATCCTGATTAGTTAATTTCTGGCTATTTGTCCATTGCGAATATTTTAGTGGACAGTTCGGGGATTTTTTTTTTCATAAAATGTTTATTATGAATGACTTAAATTTAAGTGTGAAGTTTTATTCGCAAACTTAGAAAATAACAAATTGTTTCCCTGTTTGCTTAACACGCGTTAACATGCTCCCAAATTCCCACTCAAGTAGAGAAACTTCCTGCACGAACGCTAGTGTCCACGGTTGCATTTCAAACATAAGAAATTTGTATAGAATTTTTAAAATTCTTTCAGAAGGACAAAAAAAAAGATCCTCTAAGTTCTTCAACATACGTTCTAATTTCTTTGTCGTAGTAACTGTCGGGTTTCCTATATCGACTCCGGTTGAGATTGCATTCCGAGTACGTTTCAAATCATTGCAAGTATTTACTTAAATTTTTCATTTTAAAATCGCTCAAGTTTTAAAATTTTTAAATTTGATGAACCCGTTTATTCAAATTATCGTCGACAAAAAATTCAAGCATGTGCCACAATCTTATGTTTTTCCTAATTACAACTTCTTGCTGGTAAAATTTTTTCCAGCTTGAATTTGCCACTTATTCCAAGAACTAGTCTTTCTACTTATGATTTATTAAAAATAAATCATGTGAAATTTAGTTGAAACAGTTTAGCCGTTTTTAGCCGGATTTTTTTTTGCCAATTTAGCCGGTTGGCCCAAAAAGTTCTGGCAACACTGCTGATAACCGAGAATATTTATGACTAGCTGTAAACCACAGTATAGGCAGTAACCAACCTTTTTGGGTTGTTGTTGTAGTAGTCGTTGTTGTTGTAGTTATATTCACTCCTGAGGAAGGCTCGGGGTTGTGTGCTGCTATTTAATGGCCTTCCTCAGACTTTTTCTTAGATTTCAGGGTTGTGTGCTGTATTATTATTAGATAAATAAATTTAAGTATTTGTCAAATCGTGATTTTATTAAAAGAAAATTATAAATGGTGTTGAAAAACCAAACAAACACTCGTGCGAAAGCTCTATTTTTGTGTATTGTTAAAATTTATACATGGCGTACTTATTCTTTTGTGGACTTTATGTTACTTGAGAATTTAGACACGTGCGAGCTGCCAGGTTCTGTTATCAATATAATTAACAAGCTTTTCCGAGTGGTTGCCTTTCAATAAAAAGAATAAACAAATATTCGCAAATAAATTGGATTTATTTTATAACTGACAACTAACCTACGCTTTTTGTTCTTTTCTCCATTTTAATTTTGACTCCTTATTACCGCCAACAACTTTATGTGTATACATATTTACAAGCTGTCAAAATTTTGCGTAGTCCTACGAGCTAGGTAAAAACTATGGCATTCGTATTAACAACGAGAAAACTCAAAATTTTTGTTTGGTCTTTCCAAATTTTCTCTTTTTAATCAGTTGGCAAAGGCCCTCAGTGGCAGCGCTCCGAGCGTTGGGATAGTAATTTCATGTCAATTAGTAGAAAAGTTCCATGTTGAAAAAACTTTTTATTATGGCGAGAAAAATTTACATTTCTGCTGTGCCAATTCGTTACCTTTTTGCAGCTGGAAATTTTTGACAGTTGCTCTGGTTCAAAAGAAGTTGAGCAATTAAAATCAGAAATTATACAAAAAAGGCTTGTCTTTACTGACATTTATTCTTCTAGAACTAAAAGCCATGAATTTATTAGACACCTTAGTAATAAAATCAAACCATCAGGCCGGGTTGAAAATTTTCATTCACCTCATAGTTAACAAAAATTTACAATCCGTAGTACTTTTCTATCAATTCCCAAATGCGTTTAATTTAAATCGTTTAGAAAATGCGTCATTTATGTATACCATTTTATGTGGAATTATTCAATAAATTTCGTTTTACACTATACTTTTTGAAACTATTTGGAGTTAATTATTTTTTGGTGATTAAAAGCAACCCTGCGTGCTTGGAAGGCGTGTGTACCAATAGTTTCATCCCTAGCATATTCATCCCCGAGGAAGGCAGTCGCCAAATTCACCGAAGGTTGTTTACTGGTTATATTGTGCTGTAAACATACTAGAGACTAGTGCTTGGCCCTGCTCCATTTCAATTTTCAAAAATCAAAGCTGATTTTCAGCCACTTAAAACTTGCACTTTACTACAACGATTTTGTTCAAACTCTACAATATTGCTGTTATGGTTACAAGTAACCATTTACACCAGGTTTTTTTTCTTCCGTTGTTTTCGGCGACTTATGCGAGTTTAAACTGTAGGTTTCAGACCTTCTTCTTAGAACCAAGTGGTTTCTGAAAATTTTTATTTCATGTCACACTTAGGAACCCAAAATTGCTGACTTAGTAGAACTTTTTCCTTGCGCTTTGGTGGGAATTATAATTTTAATTTTTTTTTGCAAAAACTTTGCTCTCTCTCTTTGTATGATGTAATACAGCGGACGGCATTCTAAAACATTCAAACGATTCAATAAGTGAGAGTGTGTGCGTTAAATGCACTGCTCAGCTGCCGCTCTTCGTATACGTGTGAAACGCACAAGTGCTCAGAGAGCGCTCAGTGAGCTATGGCCTGCCGACCACTGGTTTGAGGTACTCAGCGGGATGAAAGCATCCCACCTGTTTAGCTGAGGGAGAGCGGGAGATCAGGTTTAGAGTTGTGATCGAGTTAGAGAATCTAGGGAAAAGCTTTGTTATAGCTGAAATACAATGCCGGCG